CATTCACAGTGATTACATTCACAGTGATTACATTCACAGTGATTACATTCACAGTAATTACTTTCACAGTGACATTTCGAAGTCAGTCAGGTAACGTTGACTCAGATGTGTTTATCTAGTAAAGGGAATTTGTTGAACACCTTTTTGTTTTAAATAAGAAATTCTCGTGGCTCTCATCCTAACGTATGACTTGAATACAGGTTTATTAATATTAATAATCTTTATTTCTATTAGTTGATGATACAACTATTAGTCATTGCTGAGATCATTTGCATACTATATATATAGGAAGCCCCTGGTTACGCAGAGCATTTCGGGTAATTTAGGTTAAAATTGTTCTCCAGGATGCGACCCACAACAGTCGTCTAACACCCAGGTACCTACTTACTGCTAGGTGAAGAAGAGCAGCAAGTGTAAAGAAAAATGCCCAACGTTTCACACCTGTGCCGAAGATACATCCCGAACTTTCAGTGTGTGAGCTGTGGACGCTACCAACCAAGCCACGAGCACCTATGGTAGCGTTCAAGGAACATATCTATCAACATGGTCAAAAATTCTTGTGATGATTGCTCTTATCATTTCTCAGCCTCATGTTTCTCACTTACATGCAGTATTACGTAATGCTTATGACGTTTCTCATCTTTCAGTTGGAGGTTCAATGAACACAGCTTTTGAGGGTAAGACAATAGAGATTTCATTCTCATAGCATCTTCAACTACAAACAGTACTGTTCCAATGGGTGAATATACCTCTCCAAGGCCAGCCATATATGTACTTAGAGCTGCGCCCACAGCACCATCATCCTGGTTTTTTTCCCTTTCCCGTGGATGAGTTGGATGTCACTTAGGCTCAGAGAACATCATCCTGGTTCGCCCCGTGGATGTGTGGTGTCACATACGTTCACAGAATACCATTATCCTGGGCCTCCCCGTGGATTTGTGGTGGTGTCACATACCTGGAGTTTACCTGAAGAGGATTTCGGGGGTCAACGCCCCCGCGGCCCGGTCTGAGACCAGGCCTCATGGTGGATCAGGGTCTGATCAACCAGGCTGTTACTGCTGGCCGCATGCAAGCTTGTCCAGTGCTTGCCCAGTGTCTTCTTGAAGACAGCCAGGGGTCTATTGGTAATCCCCCTTATGTATGCTGGGAGGCAGTTGAACAGTCTTGGGCCCCAGACACTTATTATGTTGCCTCTCAGTGTACCCGTGGCACCCCTGATTTTCATCGGGGGAATGTTGCATCTCCTGCCGAGTTTTTTTGCTTTCTTAGGGAGTGATTTTCATGTGCAGGTTTGGTACCAGTCCTTCAAGGACCTTAACAAAATGATTTACGTTCACAGAATGATTTACGTTCACAGAATGATTTACGTTCACAAAATGATTTACGTTCACAGAATGATTTACCTGCATAATGCAATATACATATTGAGTTCATTGTACCGAATTTTGTAACCTTAAATATATATAGCATTACTGCCTTATGCTCTCCATCCTCGATCTTGTTTACATTTCTGTACACATTATACATATATTTTAATTTGACGCAGAGTTCACATGTTTATTACATAAACCCTGTGAACGAGTACACAAACTTTGTAACATTATCAATATATATATATATATATATATATATATATAATATATATATATATATATATATATATATATATATATATATATATATATATATATATATATATATATACACACACACACACACACACACAGAGTTTTGTTACCTGATAAATGAGACTTGTGCAACATCAGAGAAACCTTATTCTGGGAACGTTTCCCCAACCAGAGGTTTCTTCCGTCGAATATAGGGAAGAACGGTGGAAATCCTTTCCAGGTATATATTACCATGTATATCTTTCCAGGTATATATTACCATGTATATCTTTCCAGGTATATATTACCATGTATATCTTTCCAGGTATATATTACCATGTATATCTTTCCAGGTATATATTACCATGTATATCTTTCCAAGTATATATTACCATGTATATCTTTCCAGGTATATATTACCATGTATATCTTTCCAGGTATATATTACCATGTTATATCTTTCCAGGTATATATTACCATGTATATCTTTCCAGGTATATATTACCATGTATATCTTTCCAGGTATATATTACCATGTATATCTTTCCAGGTATATATTACCATGTATAACTTTCCAGGTATGTATTACCATGTATATCTTTCCATGTATATATTACGATGTATAACTTTCCATGTATATATTACGATGTATAACTTTCCATGTATATATTACGATGTATAACTTTCCATGTATATATTACGATGTATAACTTTCCATGTATATATTACGATGTATAACTTTCCAGGTATGTATTACCATGTATATCTTTCCAGGTGTATATTACCATGTAGTATATCTTTCTAGGTATATTTTACCATGTATATCTTTCCAGGTATATATTACCATGTATATCGCTCTCCTGCCATGAACTAAGTAATAATACTTAGGAATTCTTCGCTTGCCTAATTCTTGGGCACGACCTACTTCCACATTGAACAAATGTGACACGACCTATGACTGCTGCACCTCTCCTGCCATACGGTTTATAAGCTGCTTCTCCGCTGATATGCCGTATTCTATTCAAGATTGATGGACTGACCACATCGACTCAAGGTTGAGGGACTGATTACCTCATTCTCCTCCTGTTCTTCAAGTTTCTCCTTCGTATGGACTGATGAAGCCACTGTGTGGCGAAACGTTTCCTCAATAAAGATACCCAAGAGTTGCATATGTGTCTAATTTATCAAGATGCAGCATTCTCCACCTGACCTCAGCATTCTGAACCTGACTATAAATACTCGCGTTCCTTCCACCCCAGGTAGTTCTGTTTGTGACTTGAAAAAGCCCACTGTGTGGGCGAAACGTAGTCAATATAGGATCACATTATACTGCATATGTGTTTATATTTCCATTAATAAACTCCTTTTCTGTTGTACCTGATACAATCACGCAGGTGATTCCTGTTTTGGTATTCTGACACTGTTGATTCTGCCATTCTGTTCCAGTGAATGTTTTTTTAAGCATTATTAAGATTATAGGCAAGTTAACTTCTTACCTCATGTCTCTTGTTTGAGTGAAGTAGACTTTTATTTTTTTGAATGTACTCTTTTGCCATACTTTGTGTACTTTTTTACTTCTTGCAGTTCTTGTTGAGCAGAGATGAGTATTTGTCTGACATGGTTCATATGCAGAAATTGTCTTCTTATATTTGCATTATATGCAGATTTGCTGTGTTCCCAGAATTTGCTGCTTCTGTGGTTGAATTCATGTACTAGAAAGTTATTTAATTTTACGGGTTTTTAGAAGTATTATTTACGATCGTGGCTGTAACCATGTCTAGCCTAGTATTTGTACTTTGTGTATTGTGTATGTAGATATGGCACCTCATCTTACCCTTTACAGACCAGAAATTAATGGGTCTCGGCACTCACGCAGTCTCTGCTCTGAACTCATTTTCTCTTACCTGATAAACTATTAGATACACTACTAATAATACAGCCAGAGGTCAAGTTTAAGTGATGTACCAACTTGTACCTTTCACAGTTGCATTATGAAACTGTCAGACACTGGTATTGCTGTGTTACCCGTCAGGAGTCCCGAATCTACAGGTGCTGTCTCGTAGGAATGTGTGAGGATGCTCGGGTGCCGGGAGACGCTCTATCAGTTCCAGTAGTGGTTCCTCCACAAGGGATATAATGTCGGAGAGCAACTACTTGAAATGGCTCATTCCTTCTCTTGTGAATATCACGGGTTGTCTGCAGAGGGACATCTTCTATAGTGGCTAGCGTCCTCATTCCAGTGTCATTTGTTGTACCTTGTGTTCCAGAGGGTGATCCTGCAACTTCTTGAAGTGGTTCATGCAGCATCAAGGGGTGTTTGTCGAACCATGTTTGTTATGCAAAACAGTGAAGCTGCTCTTCCGCAGACACCATTTGTTAGTGTGCTTTGTTCACCATCATTTGGAGTTTTGAGACTCTATGACCGCGGGTTCAATCCCGGCCGGGGGTATGGTCTGTATCACTTTTCTCTGTGACTGTCACCCTGTATTATTCTGCATCATAGAATGGTACGGCTGTCTGCCATCCTGGTCTGGACGAGTAATATCAAAGAATGTTATACAAGAAAGGTATAAAATACCGACAATATGAAAGTTAAGACACGTGTGCAACGTCTACAATGGTATACACCTTGGTAATAAATACCGACAAGTTGGTTTAGAAAGACACGTAAGCAAACACTATAACAAGGTCCCAGGACCGAAACGTTTTCTAATAAATATGTTATAGTGTTTGCTTACGTGTCTTTCTAAACCAACGTCTACAATAAAGATATCCAGATGTTGCACATGTGTCTTAACTTTCAAAGAATGTTATGTCTGTTACCACAAGGAATCCCACGTTCCTTGTGTCTAGACTTAGCACAGTTGCCATTGTTTGCTACCCAGTTATAGCGTAACCAAGCTGTCAGTAATACTGCCTACTGGCACCTGTGTAGTCCCTTCGTGAGGTCTTGTGTAGACACTGATATGTGGTTTACATGTACTTTTTCGTTCTTGTAAATACGACCATTAGAACGGGCTTTGCCATATTTGCCCTTAGAACACAGAAACTCTATTGGCTCATGCTTAGTGAACCTACGGGAAGCTCACTGGCAACCAGGTCTCAGACCTTCACGTTCGTTTAAACCTGGCACCTGGGTGAGGTCGTGTACGCTACCAGTTGTATCACTGGTACACCATCTGGGGTAAACCGATGCTATGCCTACGTATGCCAGTTACGTAAGTTACATAGATCATAGGTATACGAGTTACATAAGCCAGAAATATATTAGACACACAGGTGGGTGGAATGGAGATTAAGTAATTTGTTGTAAAGCTTAGGATAGGAAGTGGAGGGGGAGGGGGAGGGGGTTGGAGGGAAGGTGGGATGAACTGGGTGGGAGTGACGTCTTACCTCTCCAGGGCACAGCAAGGACCATGGGACCGCTGTCGTCCCTGAGACCATAGAGGGCAGCAGCGGCAGCAGCAGCAGCTGGGTAGGAGTCGTGCAGTGAGTACTGGTTGCTGGCGGTCGTGTCGACAAGGTGAGACGACAGGTCCTTTTTCCCTCTCATACCCAGGAAGCCAGAGGGCGCCCGTCGCTCCCTCTCGTTACTCTCCTGTCCATCCCCACCCACGGCGCCCACCACGCTCACCGCCACGATGACGCCCACCGCAGCCGCCCACGACCACGCCCGAACCATTCCTGCAAAGAATATAATTATTCGTATTATTCTTAACTTACGTTATTATTATTATTAGTAGTAGTAGTGGTACTAGTAGTAGTAGTAGCAATAGTGGTGGCAGCAGTAGTAGTGGTAATAATAGTAGTAGTGGTAGTAGTAAGAGTAGTGGTAGTGGTAGTAGTGGTAGTGACAGTAGTGGTAGTGGTAGTAGTAATAGTAGTAGTGGTAGTGGTAATAGTGGTAGTGGTAGTAGTGGTAGTAGTGGTAGTGACAGTAGTGGTAGTGGTAGTAGTGGTAGTGGTAGTAGTAATAGTAGTAGTGGTAGTGGTAATAGTGGTAGTGGTAATAGTGGTAGTGGTAGTAGTGGTAGTGACAGTAGTGGTAGTGGTAGTAGTGGTAGTGGTAGTAGTAATAGTAGTAGTGGTAGTGGTAATAGTGGTAGTGGTAGTAGTGGTAGTGGTAATAATAGTAGTGGTAGTAGTGGTAGTGGTAATAATAGTAGTGGTAGTAGTGGTAGTGGTAGTGGTAATAGTAGTAGTGGTAGTAGTGGTGGTAGTGGTAGTAGTACCATAAAATGCCCTAAAGCCGCATGAGTAAATCAGCTCATTCTGTAGACAATAAAATCGTAATGTAATACAAATATTTATTGACGAAAAATCAGTAAGAAAACAGAAACAATTAGTTAATAAAACTTACCAACAAAACTACTAAACGATACACTTAAAAATACAGAAATCAACAAGAACTAACAACTGTAGCACAGTCACTAGCAAGAACAACAACTGTACACAGTCACTAGAAAGAACTAACAATGTACACAGTCACTAGAAAGAACTAAAACTGTGCACGTCACAGCAAGAACAAAACTGTACCACAGTCATACAAGAACTAACAACTGTAGCCATTTACTAGCAAGAACTAACAACTGTAGCACAGTCACTAGCAAGAACTAACAACTGTAGCACAGTCACTAGCAAGAACTAACAACTGTAGCACAGTCACTAGCAAGAATAACAACTGAGCCAGTCATTAGCAAGAATAAAACTGTACCAGTCACTAACAAAACTAACAACTGTAGACAGTCACTAGCAAAAAACTAACAACTGTGCACAGCATAGCAAAACTAAAAACTGAGCACGTCACTCAAGAACTAACAACGTGCACGTACAGCAAAACTAACAACTGTAGCACAGCATAGCAAGAACTAAAAATTACACATCACTAGCAAAACTAACAACTGTAACAGTCACTAGAAGAACTAACAACTGTAGCCGGGTCACGCAAGAATAAAAAACCAACACAGTCACTAGCAAGAACTAACAACTTCCACGTCACAGCAAAGAATAACAACTGTACCACAGCACTAGAAAGAACTAACAACTTCCCACAGTCACTAGCAAAAACTAAAAAACTGTACACAGCACCACAAGAACTAACAACGTAACACAGTCAACCAGCAAGAAGTAAAAACATAGCACAGTCCCCACAAGAACTAAAAACGTCACAGTCCCCAAAAGAAGTAACAATGCAACACGTCACCAAAAGAAGTAACAACTGCAACACAGTCACCAGAAGAACAAAAAACTGTAGCACAGTCCCCAGCAAGAACTAACAACTGCCCCAAGCCCACCAGCAAAAAAAACAAAACAACTGAGACAACACCACAAGAAGTAACCTGCAACACGTCACCAGCAAGAACTAAAACGTAGCACAGTCACCACAAAAAATAGCAAATGTAGCACAGTCACCAGCAAAAGTAACAACTGCAACCAGTCCCCAGAAAGAACTAAAACTGAAGCAAGTCACCAAAGAACTAAAAAACTGTAGCCGTCACCACAAAAAGTAAAACTGACACGTCCCAGCAAGAAGTAACAACGCAACACAGTCACCACAAGAACTAACAATGTAGCACATCAGTAGCAAGAAAAACTGCAACACAGTCACCAGAGAACTAACAACTGTGCACAGTCACCACAAAAAGTAAAACTGTAGCACAGTCGCCAGCAAGAACTAAAAAACTGACACAGTCACCAGCGGGAAAAGAAACAACGCAAACGTCACCAGAAAGAAAAACAACTTACCCACAGTCCCCAGCAAGAACTAACAATTTAGCACAGTCACCACAAGAACTAACAACTGTAAACAGTCCCAGAAAAAAAGAAACAACTAGCACATCGCCAGAAGAACAACAACTGTCACAGCCCCACCAGCAAGAAGAAAACAACTGCAACACAGTCACCCAAGAACTAACAACTGTACACAGTCACCAGCAAAACAAACAACGTAGCACGTCCCCGCAAGAACAACAATGTAGCACAGTCGCCAGCAAAAAAATAACAACTGTTGCACAGTCCCACAAGAAGTAAAACGCAACACAATCCCACAAGAATAAAAACTGTACACAGTACCAAGAAAACTAAAAACGTAGCACATCCCCAGCAAAAACAACAACTGTTTGCACAGTCACCAGCAAGAAGAAAACTGAAAAACAGAACCAGCAAAAACTAACAATGTAGCACAGTCCCAGCAAGAAGTAACAACTGCAACACAACCCCGCAAAACAACCCTGTACCCAAACCACAAGAATAAAAACTGCAACACAGTGCCCAAGAACTAACAATGTAGCACAGTCACACAAAAGTAAAACTGCAACACAGTCACCAGCAAGAAGTAACAACGTAGCACAGCACCAGCAAGAACTAAAACTTTTCACAGTCCCCGCAAAAATTAAAAAACTGTACCAGCGCCAGCAAGAATTAACAACTTAGCACAGTCACCAGCAAGAAAAACAACTGCAACCAGTCCCACAAAAAACTAACAACTGTAGCCAGTCACCAGCAAAAAGAAAACAACGTAGCACAGTCCAGCAAGAACTAAAAACTGTAGACAGTCCCCAAAAGAAGTAAAAAACCCCAACACAGTCCCCCAGCAAAACTAAAAAACGGGGTAGCACAGTCACCACAAAATAAAAACTGACACAGTCACCAGCAAAAAGTAACAACTGAAACACAGTCACCACAAGAAACAACAATTTACACAGTCACCAGCAAGAACTAACAACTAAAAGCACAGTCGCCAGCAAGAATAAAAACTTTTGCCCAGTCACCACAAGAAGAAAAACTGCAACACAGACACCAGAAAAAACTAAAACTGTAGCCAGTCACCACAAGAAAAACAACTGCAAAAAATACCAGCAAAAAACTAACAACTGTACACAGCACCAGCAAGAAGTAACAACTGAAAACACAATCACCACAAGAACAACAACTGTAGCCCAGTCCCAGCAAGAAGTAACAACTGCAAACAGTCGCCAGCAAAACTAAAAACTGTACACAGTCACTAGCAAGAAGTAAAAACTGCAACACAGCCCCAGCAAAAGAACAACTGTACCAGTCACCAGAAAGAATAACAACTGCAACACCAGTCACCACAAGAACTAACAACTGTAGCACAGTCACCAGAAGAACTAACAACTGTAGCACAGTCACCAGAAAGAACTAACAACTGTAGCAAGCACCAGCAAAAAGAAACAACGTAGCACATCGCCACAAGAACTAACAACTGTACACAGTCCCCGCAAGAAGTAAAAACTGCAACCAGTCACCACAAGAACTAACAACTGTGACAGTCCCAGCAAGAACTAAAATGTAGCACAGTCACCAGCAAAAAACAATGTTACAACACCCAGCAAAAACTAACAACTTTGCACTCCCAGAAAGAAGTAACAACGAACACAATCCCCCGCAAAATAAAAACTGACACAGTCACCGCAAAAATTTAACAACTGTAGCACAGTCGCCAGCAAGAACTAACTTCTTTGCCCAGTCACCAGCAAGAAGTAACACGGGCAAAACAGACACCAGCAAGACTAACATGTAGCACAGTCACAGCAGAAGTAACGACTGAACACAATCACCAGGCAAGAACTAACAACTGTAGCCCCAGTCCACCAGCAAGATCAGTAACAACTGCACACACAGTCGCCAGCAAGCACTAACAACTGTAGCTCACAGTCACTAGCAAGACAGTAACAACTGCCACAAGCCACCGCAAGAATTAAATGTAGTCACATTCACCACGATTTTTAAATTAACTGTAGTGGTACTAGCAAGTATAGAACAAATGTGCACAGTGAGAGAATAATAGTATAGTAGGAAGTCACCAAGTAGAAGTAATGCAAACGTCACCAGAAGTGAACTACAATGTAGTGAGTCACAGTAAAATAGTGTAGTGAATAGTGTATGTAGACAGTCGCATGCAAGAGTAATATATGGATGTAGAAGTCATCAGAAGTATGGTAGTGTAAATGTAGTGGTAACTAAGTGGTACCAGGTAGAATACAAGAATGGTATGGTCAATGTAGTCGAGTCAGTCAAATATGTTAGGTACAGTACCGCGAAGAGTTAACGTTGAACACAGTATGCGTAGTAGATGTAACTAATCAGTACTGTAGTAGTACGTAATGGTAACATGTAATGTACAGTTGTAGCTAGAGTACTAACAAATTGCCCTACAGCCAGCATGAGTAAATCATCACTGCAGACACATAACATCGAAGAATAAAATGTTATGACAGAAAAATCAGCTAAGAAACAGAACAATTAGTAACAAATACTACCAACAAAACTAACTACTAACGATACACTTAAATAATACAGAACACATCACACAAGAACTAACAACTGTAGCACAGTCACTAGCAAGAATAACAACTTAGCACACAGTCACTAGCAAGAACTAACAACTGTAGCACAGTCACTAGCAAGAACGTAACAACTGAACACAGTCACTAGCAAGAACTAACAACTGTACCACAGTCACTAGCAAGAACTAACAACTGTAGCACAGTCACTAGCAAGAACTAACAACTGTAGCACAGTCACTAGCAAGAACTAACAACTGTAGCACAGTCACTAGCAAGAACTAACAACTGTAGCACAGTCACTAGCAAGAACTAACAACTGTAGCACAGTCACCAGCAAGAACTAACAACTGTACACAGTCACTAACAAGAACTAAC